GAAATTTTGTTTTAGAAAATCTTGTAGGTTTGGTCAACAAAGGGAAGGAAGACAATTTTGAAGATTTCCTCAAAAGAAATAAGAAAAATAAATTAATATTGGCTAGTTCCTTAGAGGTTGTTTGGATATAAGTTTGTGACTGAATATATTAGTTTTGATTGATACTTTTCGTAAATCAGAGTTAATTTTGAAAAAAGTTGGTTGAGTTCGGTTTGAGTGAGATTTTAAATTTGTATTAAAATAATATTTAATATATAATAATTAAAGTTGATTTGATATAAAGTAGGAGATATGTAATTGAAAGTGATGGATAGTTGAAATTATATGAGTGAATGAATAATGAATTAAAATTAATGTGATGTGTAGTGAGTATTGATTGGTATTATTTTATTCTCGTTGCATATCCTACTAAGACTACAAATAACAATAACCATCAACAAACCTGGTGTGTCNTATATAATTTGTAAACTAATATATTTTTTATATAATCAAATAAAAAAAATAAATAAATATACCAAAATTCATAATTTTTAATTCTCTACAAATAGAGATCAATTTTGCTATACTTATTTTTTATTTTTAAATTGACATAAATATATAGTTTTTAAATTTGTATGTTTTTTATATAATAAAATATAAATATGTTAAATCACATTACATAAATCCCATCACTTCTCACAAAAGAAATGAATCTATGCCGTTTGTTAAAAGCACAATCTTCGTCAATTTGATTTTCACCGTTCATCACTAAAGCAATTAATCTGGTCCATTCTTTCAAAAAGCACAATCCATGTCAAATTGACCACTTGCATTTATAAATATAACACACCAGAATTTTGTATCATCAAATCACTACAATCAAAACTTTCTTCTGATTCAAATTATCATTTTCACCAAAACTTTGCAAAAGATGTCATCATATGAAAACTTTGATGAATGGCATGAAGGCCTTATACTTCAAAATCTTCAAATTGACTCACAAATGGAGGAAATTGCTTTTCGCATTCTTACTATATTTTTTCAGCCTACAAACACCGCTAATGAGCCCCGACGATGCTACATTGAGCGACAACGTGAGAAGGGCCATGAAGGGGTGTTTGAGCAATACTTTTCAGATGATCCAATATATCCTCCAGAAGTTTTCCGAACAAGATTTTGTATGCGGAAGCCATTATTCGAACGAATAATGAGTAAACTCGTTGAAACAGATGAATTTTTTCAACAAAAAAGTGATGCAACTGGGAGATTAGGTATGTCCTCAATTCAAAAATGTACTGCAGCTATGAGAGTTTTGGCATACGGTACAAGAGCTGATTTGCATGATGAATACCTTCGAATGAGTGCACAAACTATTAGAAAATCTGTTAAAAAATTTGTGCAGGGTGTGATTTCAAACTTTGGTGATGAGTACCTCAGAAAGCCAAATGAAGGTGACTTAGCATATTTATTGCATATTGGTGAACAAAGAGGTTTCCCAGGTATGTTAGGAAGTATTGATTGCATGCACTGGGAGTGGAAAAATTGTCCTGCTGCATGGGCAAGACAATATACAGGAAGAAACGGTAAGGCAACAATCATTTTGGAAGCCGTTGCATCACAGGATTTATGGATCTGGCATGCATTTTTTGGAACTCCGGGGTCCAGAAATGATATCAACGTGCTTGAACAGTCTCCTGTTTTCAAGGATGTCTTGGAAGGTCGAGCACCAAAGGTTAGTTATATTGTCAATGGCCACGAGAAAAATATGGGATATTATCTCACTGATGGGATATATCCTCAATGGGCAACATTTGTTAAATCAATCAATCACCCACAAATTAAGAAGCACCAGCTATTTGCTCAACATCAAGAAGCAGCTCGAAAAGATGACGAGCGAGCATTTGGGGTTCTGCAGGCTCGCTTCCATTTCATCAGACAACCATGTCTTCTGTGGGATCGTGACATGATGGGAAAAATAATGCTCGCTTGCATCATTATGCACAATATGATAGTGGAAGATGAGAGACACACTTACTTAAACTATTGTGATCCTACAGAGTTTATGGAGGCTAGAAGATCTAATCCTCAAAATGAAGATGATGATAATTTAAATTTTGAATTCTGTACGGAACGAATTGCAAGTTTATCTAGCTACATGACAAATAGGTCACAACTTCGTAGCAAAGAAGCTCACATTGCTCTGCAGAAAGACCTTATCGAGCACATTTGGCAAAAGTTTGGGCGTGAAAATTGAGATTTGTTTGTTATATCTCAGTATCGTAATATTCTTATGTTGTAACTTTTCAGTTTCATGATTTTTCAATGTTGTAATGTCTTATTAGTGTCGTAATATTTCAATATGAGTGTCGTAATATTGTAATATTATAACTTCTCAGTGCCGTAATTTTCCAATGTTGTAATGTCTTAGTGTCGTAATATTTCAATATGAGTGTCGTAATATTGTAAGTTCTTATTGTCATAACTGATATTGTAATTTTCCAGGGTTATAAATTTCAGATATACAATTGATAATCCATGTGAAAAAGCACAATCCATGTCAGTTTGATCTCCACCATTCATTAATAAAGTAATTAATCTCTTCCATCCATCAAAAAGCAATTAATCTCGTCCATCCATCAAAAAGTAATTAATCCTATCCATCTGTCGAAAAGCAATTAATCCTATCCATCCGTCAAAAAGCATAATCCATGTCAAAAGGTACAATTCATGTCAGTTTGATCTCCACCATCCATCAAAAAGCAATTAATCTCGTCCATCCATCAAAAAGTAATTAATCCTATCCATCCGTCGAAAAGCAATTAATCCTATCCATCCATCAAAAAGCATAATCCATGTCAAAAGGTACAATTCATGTCAGTTTGATCTCCACCATTCATCAATAAAGTAATTAATCTCGTCCATCCATCAAAAAGCAATTAATCTCGTCCATTCGTCAAAAAGTACAATCCATGTCAAAAAAACACAATCAATGTTGATAAAAAGAGACCTCCTTTAGCATATTTCACACACACCAGAAAATCATCTCCATTTCATCTTCCTTTCATTACCAAAACTCTATTGATCTCAATTTATCAATGGATCCAAGCAATTTTTTCTCAAACACCGAAGATTATTATCCTAGCCTTGAAAATCTTGATAGTCAATATTTTCAAACCCATTCAAACGCTCAGTTTCCAATTGATCTCACTCCAGAAAATATCCAGTCCCAAAACACAAGTACTTCACATACTCCCAAAGTTTGGACAAATCAAGAAGATCTGGCACTCATGTATGCTTGGGTTACCGTAAGTAAATAAAATCAAAGCAAATAAAATAATTATCAAATAAAATAATTATATAATTATATTAAATCAAAGTAAATAAAAGAATTAATTAATAATAATTATATAATTATATTAAATCAAGCAAATAAAAGAATTAATTAATAATTAAAATAAAATGAAATAAAAAATATAATAATTAAATAAAATCAAATTAAGAAAATAAATAATGTGGTTAGATGTTGGTGTGGTTGCTGATAAACTTGCAAAATTGAGATGGTGTGGTTGGGATGATTATTGATGATGTGGAAGAGAGAGAAAGTAATTAAATATTAGGGTGGTTGAATGATTGGGTGTTTGGAAAGGTTGCTGTTATTCGTAGTCTAAATGTCCTTAAGAATCCTCAAGATGACGACGTTGACTGGCCATTATCACGATGACATAACACTGTTGGGACCAAGAAACTACTGCAGTATATATTGGACCAATATGAATTATGTCGATCACCTGATCGCCGTTGTCAAAGTTGTCGATCGCAGAGACTGCCGATCACTCTGTGACGTGTGAACGTGTCTGACATTATGGAGCTAGTAAAGTCGCTAAATACGATGACACCACCGCCCAAAAGGTATTGACTCGCTGTCCAAACCAGTCATTTTCTCACAAACCTGCAAGATAATACATCCCATCTTTAAAAGACGAACTTTTGCATAACTCCACGCGTCTCCTTAGCCATCGAGGCGACTTATAGTAATTATTACACTTTGCTTTATCTCTGTATAAGCTAACCCCTCGACACCTCCGAAAAACACGAGCAACACAGACTGAACAAACTAAACACCATTAAGTTTACTCATTTGAATACTCTAAGTGGGGCTTCGCGACCATCATTGTAACACCAAATATTGCTAGTCATTTCTCCTGAGGAACCTTTCTCCTCGTCGATCTTACACTATATCACAATATCTAATGCCATTTCATTTCTTGCACAAATACACTCCATAAATCCACAATACAATTTTTTTTTTTTTTTATATTCCAATGAAAAATCATATGGTAATATATTCCAATGGAAATTTCAACGAATATTCTAATGGTATAGCTTCCGTTGGAATGTTGCCAATGGAAATTCCAACGAAAATATTGCGTTGGAATGACTATTCATTGGAATTTTAGATAGAATTTGGTGATTCAATGGCTATTTTTCTAACGGTTTTTTACCGTAGGAATTTCCGTTGAAATATGCAATTTTTGTTAGAATTTTTATTTCCACCTCCGTTTGAAAATCTACCGTTGGAATCGTCGAAATCTAACGGAAATTCCAATGGAAAATTCATTCAAACAGAATATTTTTATTAGAATTTCCGTTGGAATTCCACTAAAATATATTTGTATTGGAATTTTTTGTTGGAATTTCATCATTTTGTTGTAGTGCCACCTAAACAAACCTTAATCATCGAATTTAAGAAATGATTGACGATCATTCGTCAACAATTACATCGATAATATTGAGGAATGTTGAGTTGAGTTAAATTTTGAATTAAAAAAAGTGAGTAATATAAAGTGATTAGTTTTTATTGGAAATCTCAAAAATCCAAGCACCCTTTGATATAAATTTATATCCAAATACCTCTTTTAACTAATTAATCACTTTAATTTTTTTCCAAAGGGGAAGGAAGATAAGTTTTAATATTGGCTAGTTAATTTTTTTTCACCAAAACAGTAAGAGAAGGGAGAAAAACAAAACTGGCGAATAACAGTTGAAAATTGGTCTCCTTTTCCAGTCCCCGAAGTATCATTACGTCAAATATCAGCTCCGACATAACTATTCTTCTCCGATTTCAACCCCGATTCTGCTGTATTATCAGTCACCTTTTTCAGGATTGATTGTCTGATCAGATCAAATTGGCCATTGGGACTAAAGCAGAATTACACACTTACCCCTCTTACTTTCTCTCTGTCGCACACGCACACTCTGCGGGGGATCTATGGGTGCTCCGAAGAAGCCTCTGATGCTAATTTTGATAATATTTTTCGATATCTTTGTATGCGAAAATGTTGCTGAAGGCGTCACCAGGGAGGAAGCCGAGCAGCTGCGAGATGAGGTTACTGCATTCTCTATATCCGGAGCTCCATTAACAAGCATAAATTGTTCTGAAATTGTCTAATGGACTTTTGCCGATTGAGTTTATCTTGTTTGATGCTAGATTAGTATTTTTTTTTCTTTCCTCGATGAACTCTTTGGTATTCTCATGTGATGGCTGTGTTTTTTGAGTTGTTGAGTTTATCTTGTTGTATTGTCAATCTGTTGAACTCATGCAAATTTCTTCAGTGCGAACCTTTTCAAGTCGGGAGTACTTGAAGTGCGATTAGTTTGACTATGGTGAGGGATGAAATGGGTTTAAGGAGATTGGAAATTATAGAGGAGAAGGAAATGGGCAATTCACACGTTGGAAAAAAAGTGGATCTTTGGTATTGTTTAGTTCCCTTTGGGTAGAGTGTGTGTGAGTGTGTTTATGTGCACGTCTGTCTTTTTTTCGATTTCTTTCCCTTTCTTTTGGATCAAGTTTCAGGATAATTCTTTTGAAAGAATATGTGTATAAGAGGGCTCATGTATAGGAAAACTGATTTCTCTGTAATTTTTTGTAGAGGGGAATAAACTGAGCTATAATTAGGCAATCCCCAAGATGGCACATTTTATTTTGTTTCTATATTTTTATAAAACTTGCTTCGACTTTGAAGCAAAAGAAACATGAGACATTTGATTCCAGTGGAAACTGTCTGAATTTTCACCGTTTTATAATTCTGGGCTCCACTGAGTCAATTTGCATTTGATTAGAAATCAAACTTGTCTCATGAGTGAAAATTTTGATAAAATACACTCTTTTGCTGTTATTTCTTTGCCTTGTCTAAATGGCGTACATTTGAATTTTCACGTTTAGGTTATTTTGGTGAATATGTGCTTCAATCATGTTAACCAATTTCATTATATGGTTTAGGTGCGTGAGATGTTTTATCATGCATTTGATGGATACATGGAGCATGCATTTCCACATGATGAATTGAAGCCCTTATCATGCGGAGGTGAAGATACTCTTGGAGGCTATGCATTAACATTGGTGACTAGAACAATCATGTATCTGCTCAGTGTTTAATGGCCCTTGGACATCTGCAGTTAACTTTAATCAGCTTTTTCTGTATCATGTTTTTGTTTAATCAGATTGATTCATTGGACACACTGGCTTTGCTTGGCGATCAAGAGCGGTTTTCTACATCTGTTGAATGGATTGGTAAAAGTCTTCGATTTGATATTGTGAGTATAGATTTTGTATTTGTCTTGCATGATAACTGAACTTATCAATGGATTTTATATACTTTTTGTTTGTTTTCCTGATATGATCTGAACTTTGATATAAACATGGAATTGAAACCAATTCGTTAAGAAAATTTTGTTTGTAGTGCAGTAGGGGAATGTTAAAGGTACTTTATGTTGCATATACTGTATCATGCATGGGGTCAACAACAGTCCTCTGTCTGACTTTAAATCTTGAATGTCTATTCTGGTGACAAGTTGGTATGAAAGCTATGAAGTGATCGTCTCTTCGTGTCTGCCTATGAAATGGAAGATAAAAGTTCAGAAAGTTAGTTAAAATGTCATTCGTTTTCTTTTTTTTTTTTTTTCATTTTCANTTTTCATTTTCTTATTAATTTTTAAATGACAAACTGGCAGTAGTAGGATATATGAGAACTCAAACTAGACGTTTAATGCTATATACCAAGAAGATAGGAAGATGATGTATTACTTGGTCCTATTACCAATGTTGTCTTTTTTGAATTTATCATCTCATTTCTGCCCTCTTGTCACAATTATTATATTCCATGCTTAACTATGTTTTTGCGTAATATGCTTTATTAAATTATCAAGGATGTATTGGTTGCGAAATTCCTTTTACCGTTTTGTAATAGTAAAATTAATCAGTGTTATATGTTTGGTGAAACTTATGTACATCTTGCCCGAGTCTCATTTTGTGGTTACGATACTTCTTGTCATTGTGAAGGGACTTTAAGGTGTGCTGATAATGTTGGTGGTGGTATTTGTGCTTCAGAGTTAACTCCTTGCTAAAATTCAGATTTCTTTCCTTATTTGCAGAATAAGACTGTATCTGTATTTGAAACTACCATAAGGATACTTGGAGGCCTACTCTCTGCTCATCTCATTGCCAGCGATTATAAGACGGTAAAACTCAGTGGAAGAAGATCCTTTTTTTGTTGTTCTTGGTACTTATATTATTATAATCTTTATAATGATCATACTAATTATTTTGGATTTCGTTTCTGGGAATGATATGCTATGCTCTTCTTCATTTTCTTAGCGTGGGTAAGTCGTGGAAGAATTTATGTAAATTAACTGCTACTTATCAGTAACTACTATCTAGTTCATATAAATGATGTTGATGCTGGTAGACATTTTCACAGGCTTCACTGTATCTGAGACCAGATAATGTGCTTGGACCCTATTGCTGTTTCTCTCTCTCTCTCTCTCGTTTTTTTCTGCTATAGCTATAATATGTAAGAAGAGGTGCACAGTGAGGCAAATATATTACAAGAGAGAGTAATATACTGAAGAGTTTCAATAATATATATATATATATATATATATATATATATATATATCTGAGTTGACTTGTTAGCTAATGTGAAATTCCGCCCATGGTGTTTGCACTATCTTAAGTAATCCTAGCTCTTTTTCTGTGGTTGAACGAGTTTGTGACCAGAGTTAATTTCCCTATAAAGAATAATTAACCTTGTCATGTTTGAGTACGTATTTGGTGATTTTTTTTTTAAAGAATTTGCAAAATGATTACTTTTTACTACTGTAGGGAATGAATGTGCCCTCATATGATGATGAATTACTTAACTTGGCAGAGGATTTAGCCCGTAGAATGCTACCCGCATTCGATACTCCAACAGGTATCATCAACACATAATTATTGATTTAAACAACTTTTGAATTTTTTTTATTGCAATTTGGCTTGTATATCCCAATTAAAGTTGATGTTACTATGTTAATATATATAAAATTATCGAAGTTCCATGCGAACTGAGTGCCCTTAGTTTCTCTTTCAAAGGTCTTGAATATTTTTATGTTCTTAGCATTCTTCGTTTTCAAAGACTACTTCAAACAGGAGTGCACTTAGCTAGTTGCACGTGGGCAACTGAAGTTATCAACTATCAATGTCATATTTCATTATTAATGAACGAGTATGTGTCAATACTTGATCTTATGGGTGACATTCTGAGAATAATATCTGCTACCGATCGTGGAAAGTGCGTATGTCTATTGTTCTTTTTTAGTCAATTTGCTAGTATCCTATAGTATGATTTTTAGGTCATAAACAGGGTTTTTAAGTTTTCTGTACCTTGTTTGACTTGTATATGCATATATGTTAATCTCATTTTGTTTGACCATCTAGGAAAAATTTGTGTTTTTCCACTGGGTTTTGGTAGGATTTTCTGATATTGTAATTTATACCTGATGCAGGAATTCCTTTTGGGTCAGTAAATCTTATGCATGGAGTAGATGAAAATGAAAGCAAGGCAAACCCTCTTTGGATTCTCTTCACCATCTTAACGTACTATATATTTCCTATTTCAGTGAATATCTTATATGGGAAAGCATTATTTACAATAATCTGCTTTCTGCATATTTTGTAATCGACTACTTGCGTTGTATCTTTTAAATTGTTTGTAATTGTTAGTTAATTTATTTTTATTTTATGAGCATATTTGCCCTACATGTATGAAATGCTTTAAAAAAAATTTACTATTTTACTCCAAAACTAAATTGTATAAAATGGACCTCACAAGATCCGATCTGTCATCCTAAAGTTTATGGAAATGTATAATTACTTTTACTTGAAGGTCTATATGATCAAGAAGATACGTCTTGTATATATAGGCGTAACTGTGTTGTGTTTTATAAAATTGTTCTTGTAATGCTCCTTTAAATATTTTCACATAGCTCCATTCCATGAGCAGCTACAGTTAAAGTATCTTCCATTAAGTCTGTGTTGGAAATATTTTTATAAGTTCTTGAATTCACCGTATATGATGATATCTTCTGAAAACATGGAATATATTATGGCATATAGATCGTGGTAAATTGTGTTTTCAAATATGATATAGACACTTTTTTTTGTTTTTAGTATTGCTTTGTAGATCTTGTTGCCTAGAATTATTATTTTTTAAATTGTTTATTTAGTTAATGACATGGAAGATCTCATTAGTGTAGATAACATCAACAGCTGGTGGTGGGACCCTGACATTGGAATTTGGTGTACTTAGCCGCTTGATAAATGATCCTAGTAAGTGATGCAATAATGTTATCCCATGCATCAACAATATTATGTTTTTCTTAGGTGGGGAGTGGGGTATCACATATCATCTGTTTTTTCTATATGAATCCCTTAAATTTGTGTTCCCAAGAGTTTTAGACTTTCAGATGATATGTAAACACTCTTTCTAATGCAAGAACACAATCTCCTGGAACTTATGCTGGCTCTCATTGAGAATTTTCACTTAAAAAGTTCAAGATAATAAACAAGATAGACGTTAGATGTGACACTCTATTTTAAAGAAACTCAAGGCAATGCATTTTATTTAGCATACCCATTTCTGGCAAAATGCGTAATTCTGGGTGATCTATTTTTGAGCAATAGAAGGTATGTCCTAGTTGAAAATTTGGTATTACGATGTATGTTTATAATTTCCTAAATCTTTACCTTTGTCGAAAATGTAGTTTTTGAACAGGTCACCAAGAATGCAGTTCGAGGTCTGTGGGCTCGTCGTTCAAGAATTAACCTTCTTGGTGCCCATATTGATGTTTTTTCTGGTGAATGGACTCAGAAGGTCATTCATTCAACCCAGTGCTGTTTCTTTGTGTTATATCCATATGTATGATGAGATAAAGGCAAAAAATTGCTGACATTTAGTTTTTCCTGTGGTATTTTAGGACGCTGGAATAGGAACTAGTATAGACTCTTTCTATGAGTATCTGCTGAAGGTGAATACGCTTCTTTCGGAAACTGCAATGCTGTATTTTATACGTTTAGTTGATGTCATGTGATTTTCATGTTGTAGGGTTCTTGGCTTCTTAAAAAAAATACATCCTTCCTCCTTGGCTATTATTTACTACAGAAGTATTCCAATAAATTTTGTGTATGATCTAAGTTGCGAGAACTTTTAACTTGTAATTTTGCAAAACCTTATGGTCCTGTTTGATAACAAGAAGTTTTCCGAGGGCTAAAAAGAAGAAAATGATTGATTGAGAAGGAAGGCGATGATTTTCAGCCACATGCTCTGGCAATATTTATGAAATTGGATGGGCCAGAAACATAATACACGTTTTCTGTTTTTGCTCATATGCTCATAATACATCTCTTTCTTCTTGAAAAATGTGTGGGATCAAAATTCTTTTCTGATCAATATTTATTTGGCATCAGGCTTATATATTATTTGGTGATGAAGAGTATCTTTTCATTTTCCACGAAGCATACAGAGCTGCTATGCTCTATCTGTTTAATGATCCTTGGTGAGTAGAATTCGTTAGCTAGCATATTTCATTGGCCTTGTTCAACTGATTGTCTTTTTTCATGTTTGCATGCTAAACCATTAATAAGTATCTTTGTAATGTCTTAAATTAGGTATGTGGAGGTAAACATGAATTCTGCTGCCCTTGTTTGGCCATTATTTAATAGCCTGCAGGCTTTCTGGCCCGGACTTCAGGTAATTAATTTTCTTTTTCCTTGTTACC